AGCATGGACCTGCGGGCAGGGGCAGCTACAGCTCCTGCCTTGGGCCTAGGGGCAGCGTGTCCCGTTCTGGCTGCATAGGCCAGAGATGGAGCCCACGGCTGCAGGGCAGGGCATGGGTCAGGGGGCAGGCTATGACACCCAGGTCCCAATGAATCTTAATCCACCTCTTCATGGCAGAAATGGAGATGTCAAGAACAGCAGTGGGGCAACCTCAGGCAGTTTCTGTTTCATTTCTAGGTTGATGTGTGTGGAGTGGGAGTATGTGGGCCATGCATGCTTCTCAGCAGCACTCTGGAGGATGCCAAGGAAGTAGACATATAGTGAGAGTCAGCCAACCCAGGCTCTTACAAAATTACTTTCTTGCAAATATAGGTGACTGTGGCTGGAACTCAAAGGGGAAAAAATTTCTAAATGACCAAAACTTTTCTTGGGTTGATGCTATGCAGCAGCTACATCAGGGGTCGTGCAAGTATCAAAATCTAAAATAGCCTAGAGGTAGCAGTGAAGGGAAGTGGCCAGGCACCCAGGGTAAAGCAGAAGTAGCAACTTTCAGTTCACCCTTGCTAATGTGCAGCAGCCACTTTTCCTTGAACCCCACCCCTCCAGGTCAGCACCTGGGGCATTTGCCCCTATCGCACCTCCCTCCCGCCCAAATATATCACTACCTAGAAGAGACTCTCTTGCATCTATTCAAACCCTAACCTACCCTGGAAGTCAGTGACGATGTGTGTTGCAAAGACTGGTGGATGTCCACTGAAACACACACATTCTGAGACAGACTTGAAGCCAAATCCAACAGCACTGGATGCAGGAATAAAACCCAGCAGTCATTGTTTCCATCAGTTTCCAATTGGCATCAAAATCCTAATACAACAAAATACGTAAGCATGTGCGTCCAACTGAATTGAAAAGGATTGAAGCACATGCTTATAGTTACACCGGTGCTTGCTAAATCAGGCTTAAAAAACTAGAACTGCATGCATTCGACCACTCCCATTTCAATGAGCAGAGTCAGACATCAAGGGTTGCAAGTGACTCCAGCCCTAAAACAATATCAGCTACTTGTTCAGAGTCCAACGTGCCTGTGTGAGACACTGGCTGTCTTGCAGCTAAAATGAGGGATTTCCCTTGAGGTGAATGGGAACACCTGAGCGCATGGCCATATGTGGAGAAAATTGGATGAGAGGATCAGCAGAGATGCTGGAGGGGGTTAGGGCATGCTAGCCATCTCAGCAGCATTGAAAAAGTTAAAAGTGGAGAGAGGAAGACTGTAGAACCTACTGTTTTGATAGAGGGTGAGGAGAGTTGCAGCATATTTCTGAGATTTCATAGACTTAAGGGGCTAGAAGGGACCTCACGAGATCATCAAATCCAGCCCCCCTGCCATAGGTGTTTTCTCCTCTTTCATACTTTTGAATGCTTATTATTTATCCCAGATGTATCAGGACCCCACTGTGCTGGGTGCTGGACAAACCCCAAGGTGACAACCTCTGTCCTGAGGAGCGTTATATCTAAGGGCCCAGTCTTGCAAACTCTTGGGTGGGTGCTTAACCACACCCATGTGAATAATCCCATTGCTTCCAGTGTACCTACTTTCAGACTAATACAGGGAACTACTTCTCTCTACTTTCCGCAGTAAAGCCAAGCACAAGCTGTAGCATTTGCAAAGCTGTTTCTATACCCTAGACATAAGGGGCGTGAAAAGTTGTGAGTCAACAGGGTTGAACTGTCAGTACAAACGTGACAAAACTTGGTTAAAATTGTTGGCACAGTTGGAAGTGTTTTCAAATAACTCCATGAGATTTAGGGCCAAGAGTCATTTAGGCACCTTGCAAACTTTAGGATACCTCCTAGTTTGGCTACTATTTTACAGAAAAAATGTTTTAAATACACTCACTCCATCCATGCTGAGAGCACATCTAGGTAATTGTTTTTTTGGCATGGATTAAGTTTAGATATTGGCATGCAGTGCTGTGGCCAAGTTCAGCAGAAGTTTCTTAGCATAAAACAGAGACCCAGGAAGATAACTGTCCACATTTGCATCAACACAGCACTGAGCAACACTCTACAAGCCTATTGCAGCATGCAGGGGGATCACCAATTTTCAGGCAGGAAGGAAAAAGAGAGTGAATCTTTTCAGTGGTTTTGTTCTCAAATCTTGACCAGGAGTCTAGAGGCCACTTTGAGGAAATTATGGGAGATTAATGCCGTATTCAAGTGTCACAGGCCAGCAATTTCAAATCTGAGTGCCTAAAATTTGAGACATATTTAGACACTTAAATAAAAAAAAGGCCTTGGATTTTCAGAAGTACTGAGCAACTACAAATCTTACTGATGCCAGTAGGCCCTGAAGGTAACTACGAACATCAGGTCCCAAATGAATAAGAAAAGCCCATTCACTTTTATTTCCCCAATACTGTATAAAAGTGACTTGGCTCCTTTAACTTTTCCGCATCAATGGCTTATCTTGAGGCAACTGGTGAGAGCTCTCACCCATGCTGCTGTGATTTTTCAGGGGCTAGAAATAATTCCTTGTGTCCTGGCTCGCTGAACAATATTGGAGCACAAGTCTTCAAACCAATGAGGTGCTCCTCTGATAGAAGATCTTTTGTCTTGCAAGGAAGCAGTAAGCGGTAATCCAGCCCTGCCTTCTTTACACCGGGTGTGACATGCTATTAAGAAGACAGTGTGACAGACAGGCTAGATTTTTCTACTGGCTACAAGAAAACCTTTCCCTGCGAGTTGCATGATACATGGAATATGCAAAAATGGCTGAGAATGCCAGCCTGCGCAAAGGATTGTCACCCACACTGGATAAAGTCTGAGTAAGTAGCTGGTTTGGTTTTAGAACTGGAGTCACTTGTAACCCCTGATGTCTGACTCTGCTAATTGAAATGGGAGTGGTCGAATGCATGCAGTTCTAGTTTTTTAAGCCCGATTTAGCATACACCGGTTTAACTATAAACACGTGCTTCAATCCTTTTGACTTGCTGGTTATCTTGAAATGCCAGCTTCCGATCTGCTTCCATCCTTCTGACTTCAGTTGGACACACATGCTTAAAGCCTACACAGTCTCAGGCCTATGCATTCTTCCTCTCCAGTGCAAAAGCAGAGGTTATGGAAAGCCTTATTTATGCCGACATAACACAACGATTCCCCGTTTGCTGTGCTCTCCTGTCTCTCCTGTTGAATCCGGTCATGCAGGGTGTCTCATGTTGTAGCGAAAATAGATACTTTTCTCTATATTTCTTTGTTCCTTGTT